CTAATTTTTATTGAATAAAAAAAATCTTAAGAATATGTTTTCTAACATTCTTAGAACATGAGTAAATGTTAGAAAACATATTCTAATTTTTGTAGAACAAAGAACAAAGTATAGAATATGTATTCTAAAAGTCGTAGAAACTAGTATTCAAAATACCGTAGAACAGAAATGATTTCTAAATTTTGTAGAACATGTAGAGTGTGTAGAATACATAATCTAAATTTTGTAGAACATGTAGAGTGTATAGAATATACATTCTAATTTCAGAAGACATATTCTAAACTTTATAGATCAAATTTTATCCATCTAAAACAAAAACAAAACAATATATTTTTGACATTTTATATATCTTCATGTCTTCTTTATCATTTTAATACATATTTTTCTTAATTATTTTTGAAACAATTGGTTCAATCTTATGAAAGGGGTAGTTTAGGAATAGTTGATATTTGTTCATAGAATTCATATATGGACAAATACTTAAATATTTATCTTTTATTTCCAATTTTCCCTTCATTTAATTATCACTGATGCTGTAATTTCGTTGAATTCTTAATCTTATTATAACTAAACTATTTAAATATACAAATTTAATAAATTGATCAACTTTTAAAGTCAATTATAATCTATGTATATAGCTGTTTGATTCGTCGGCTTCAATAATGCATGTATTTACTCGACAAGATAGTTTTATATGTGATGCGCACGTTTTGTACATCAGTTTATTTTATTTCAATTATTAACGATATTGTGTATCTTTTGTCTGTATAAAGAGACCGATCAAATACATGCATTATTGAAGCTGATGTACATTTTATTTCAATTATTAACGATATTGTATATACACAATACATGCTTATTTCATGTGATAAGCACAATACATGCTTATTTCATGTGATAAAGAGACCGACCAATATTTTGATTTAATGTGTTTTTGTTTTGGGTGTTATAGGATCACTTATACTCCTAGGAAGATATTGGAAACTATAGTTATTTTTTCACTAGGTATTTTGTCCACGGTATATTATAAAATTTTATGGATTCTTAATTATATATATATATATATATACAAAATCAAAAGTCGAGTATCAAATTTGAGTTTAATATCTTATTATAGATTTTATAAAACTAACTAATTATATAATTTTAGATACGATTTTAGAGTAATATGTTGTATGATTTTAATTAAATTATCAATTTGCTTATATAAATTTACATTGACGTATCTGAAATGGCTTAAGATCTTCCGAGTTCTTAGGACTAATCTTTCATCAAGTTTTTTAAGCTCATGTGAATCCAACTATATTGCGCTCATAATGTTGGGTGTATGTAGGTCTAGGTGTATGTGTTTTGTGTCTTTAAAAAGATTGTAAGTGTTGTGGTAATATTTGAAGGTTTAATAATTTATCCATTCTTGTAATATGCTAGAATGTCTTATATACAATATAATCATTTATTAGAGGTTTATTTTTTCTATTTTCAGTGTTTTTTTTAAGTTTTCTTTTTCAAATTTTAAGTTTAAGTACCATTTTACTCTTTTTTGTTAATTTAAAATGTCACAATCTTAAATATTGCCTTAGGCCTCTAAATCCTTTGGCATGACACTGGATATATGTTTATTAGTTGTAAACTAGATAAAGAACCCGCGCTCTACCGCGGAGTACTTTTATAAATTAGCTTTGTTTTAATATAATTACAAGTATAATTGGTAGAAGTTTGAAATAATTATAGGATTAGGTATTTTTACCTTTACTCAAATTTTAGTAATTTTTATTTTATTATTTTATTATATATGCATATATTAATAAGTACATGTTATATATTACTTTTATAAAATAAATATACCGTATAGTCAATTTTTGTATTTGTTTTTGTTTTGTTTTGTTTTATGTTTATAATGTGTATAACGTTTTACAAATAGCTAATTTCTTTTTATATGTATATAATTTTCAGCGACTATTATATTTCAAGAACCTTACTTTCTTTTCATTAAATATATACATGGTGCACAACCATAATTTGAATCACACTTAAAATATTTAATATAGACTTTCAATTTTTAAAATCATTATGGTTGGATTTATTTTATGATTTGTTAAAATGATAACTTATAATTTATTTTATACCATAATTTGAATATAAATTTGTTATTCCAATTATGTTATCGGATTTCATGTGATACAATAAGATTGTATAATTTCATAAATCTTTTTTTAATTAAGGAAAAGGTAATTTTTTTCTTTTAGAATTAGTAGCTTTAAATTAGAATTAGTAAATAATTTTTTAATTTCATTTTTATTTAATAAGATACATATAGTTTCCTTATAATTATCTTCTTTACTTTTTAAAAATTGTTTTTATAAGATATATATATATATATATATATAGTTGCCTTATAATTTTCTTAAATTTTTATTTTTATTGCATAAGATACATTAGTTTCCTTATATTTATCTTCTTTAGATTTTTAGAATTTTTTTATATAAGATATATCCGTATGATTTCATTATAATTTTTTTTCTAAACAAATATTTTTTTTTAGTTTTACACGTTGATAAATTTGACATGTGCATATAGTTTCCTTATATATTTTTAAATAAATAAAATGAAAATTTTGTTTAACACGTGTCAAAATCTGAGATCGATAAATTTGACACGTGGCACGATCTTATGAGTTACGAACTTTGAAAATCATACTTTATATATTAAGATACGATGATTCAAAACACTTAAAAATAAATCAAATAAATATGATAGGAGAATCATAATTTTAAATCTTAATCAAATCTTCTAAATATCTAAATTATTAAATATGGAATATCCAGTGTATGAGTTGGATTAAAAATAACCCGATCCAACAAACATTTTATGACCAAAATTTGTAAACGGGTCGGATACCGATTGTATCCAAATGCATTTTGCCATACCCGCTAAAAATGTACTTCAAAAATACTAGTATAGATTTTGTCATAATTTACTTATTAATTTAGACTATAGTTACGTTAGTTTTTTTTTTTGATAAAAGATCTTCTATTTAATAGCATGAGAAATAAATTGAGATTCTACCAATAATCTCTACAAGAGCATGATCCTTCTAAGAAATGATGAAACCTCTTAGAATCTCTAATAATGATTCTTCTTTTTTCAATCAATGAAATTGCTTTTGCTGTTTCATGACAATCTCCACAAATTCTAAGATTCTTCCTTATGATAATTGGCTCCATTGGACTAATCACCAAAAGCCCAAACGCCATTGCAATCTTCTCACTATGTTGATTAATCATTTCTTCTTTCACATCTTCATCAACATCATGTAATACAAACTCTGTTCTTGATTTAAATCCCAACTCACTCTTCATCTTCTTTCTAATCTCTTTTAGCTTCTTCTGTATCTTCTCTGATTCAGGATGAGACCAATCTCCAACAACAAACTTATGAATCTTATTACCATGTTCAATGTAACTATACCCTGAAGCTCTTACAAGACCTTTCTGTTTCATCAGATTCCTTATTCTTGAAGCATCTTTCCATAGACCAGAAGCTGAATAGATGTTTGATAGCATTATGTAGTTTCTACCATCACGAGGCTCTAGTTCAAACAATCTCTTTGCCGCTTTTGTTCCGAGTTGGGTATCTTTGTAAACCCTACAAGCACCAAGCAAAGCTCCCCAAACACCAGAACTCGGCTCCATTGGCATCTCTTTGATCAATCCATAAGCATCTTGGAGAAGCCCGGATCGACCCATGAGATCAACCATACATGAGTAGTGATCTAACCTGGGCTCAATTCTGTATCTTTTCGACATTGTTTCGAAATAATACCTCCCTTCTTCGACCAGACCTGAGTGACTACAAGCATTTAACAAGTGAGTGAAGGTTACATGATCAGGACTTAAACCATAGTGAACCATGAGCTCAAAATGCTTTATTGCATCTCTTCCATACCCGTGAGTGGCATAAGCAGCAAGCATTGCTGTCCACGCCATGCTATCAGGAGAAGTAATCTCAAGAAATACCGTAGACGAATCCTCCAACCTCCCAAGTTTTGCATACAAGTCTAATAACGCAGTCGTTATACATGTGTTTGCATTGAACCCACAAAACATGATTAGCCCATGAATTCCTTGTGACAATCTCACTACCCCGATGTCTTCACAGACACGGAGAACAGCCAGAAAAGTGGCTTGATCAGGCTTAAGCCCAACCCATCTGCTCATGTTGAAGTAAGCCAGACCTTCTTCGGCCAAACCGTTTTGCAAGTGAATCACAATCATCGTATTCCACGAAACCAAATTCTTTACACTCAAATCCTCAAACAATTTGCAGGACGAAATCAAATCTCCAGTCTTTCCATACAAATTCATAAGAGCATTCACAACTTTAACTTCCTCAAGCACACCAGATTTCATCACCAACCCATGAATGCAAACTCCCTCTTCCTTATTTCCTCCATGAACACAAGCCGAAATCATCGACAAAAACGTAACTTCATTAGGTCTAAAACCCACCTCAGATCTCATCATCCTAGATAAAACCTCAAAACATTTCCCCAAATATCCTCTCCCTGCATACCCAGATATTAAAGAGTTCCAGGCCACCAAATCTCTCTCAGGCATTTCATCGAACAGCTTCTCTGCGCAAACATCAAGACCCAATCTCAAGTAACAGCCAACAAGCTGGTCCCCAATAAACCCATGGCGATAACTCACACTCTTCACTACTTTACAATGAAGCAAACGACACAGTTCAATGGAGACACAAGAATTTATAGAAGCTATAAGTGATGAAACATTTCTATCTAAACTACAAAAATCTTGTTCTTGAACAAAAGTACTAGCTCGGCTCAAAAAACTCCGACGATATAAAAATCTAAACTTTGAACATGAATACACATTTGCTTTGATCATCTCTCATTGTTATCTTTCTCTCATCAATTCAAACTTAAAAAGCATTCTCCAATTAGTAACTAGCATTTTTTACTATTAACACCAAAAAAAAAAAAAACTATAATATTTTTACCATTTCAAATTTCTTTTAGTAAAAATGTTTAACCTCTAAAATCTAAATTCACCGGAGTTTCTATATGTAGAAAAGAAAAAAAAATTGCTAACTAGGTAAAAGTATGTTACATTTCTCATATTCTCACCAAAAGCCATTACAAGAACAATGACCATCTTTGAAATGGTGGAACCTGTTTCTGTCTCTCACAATGATCTCTCTGTTAAAAATCTTGGAGATCATCATGGAAACCTGATGACAATCTCCACAAACCCGAAGGTTCTTCACGATCCGAATCGGGACATCTGCTTTCAAACTCATTATACCAAATGCAATGGCGGCCTTTTCGCTATGTAGACACAATGCATCCTCTTTCTCTTCTTCATCTATGTCGAACATAACCGGGGTTGTGTCTGCCTTATATCCAGCGAGTCTCAGCCTTCTCGAGATATCCTTCCAAACCGCGTCGATTTCGTTATATTTTGGGTGAGATTTGTCTCCAACAAAGAATTCGTGGACTTCTCCATTTACCTCCATTACACTGCACCCTGGTTGCTTTCTGACTCCTTTAGATTTCATTGACTGTCTAACGTGACTAACATTGTCCCAATCGTCTGAATCTGCATATATGTTTGATAAGAGGACATAAGCTCCGTGATTTGAGGTCTCTAACTCGAGCATTTTTTTAGATGCAAGAACGCCAAGTTCAAGGTTCTTGTACATTCTAGATGCGTGGAGCAAAGAACTCCAAACAGCAGCATGAGCCTTCATGGGCATTTGCTGGATGATACTTACTGCGTCTTCTAAGCGGCCTGCACGAGCATACAAATCAACTAAGCAGCCATAGTGATCGAGCTGAGGCTCTATTCCGAACTCATTTCTCATCGAATCAAAATGTTTTTGCCCTTCATCTACAAAACCGACCACACTGCAACCTCTGAGAACAGAGACGAATGTGACAGCGTTTGGAGTAACACCATCTTGTTTCATAAGAGAGAAAAGCTTGAGACATTTCTCCCCGAACCCATTCATGGCTAACCCATTCAGGGCGCTACTCCATGTGTACACATTCTTCTCTTCCATACCCCAGAAAACTTCCATAGCCTTGTCCATGTCACCGCATTTTGCATACAAGTCGACCAACGTAGTACCAAGCCTCACAGTGATTTTAATTTTGTTTCTCTCAATGTAAGAATGAGCCCATCTCCCTTGGTCTAAAGCACCCAATTGAGTGCAAGCAGATAAAACCGAAATCATAGAAACCCCATTGACTTTCACACCTTCCAACTGCATCAAATGAAACAGGTTTAGAGCTTCCCTTGACTCACCAACCTGAGCATAGCCAGAGATCATTGCGTTCCAGGCAATCGGGTCCTTTTCCGGCATTCCCTCAAACAACTTCCGCGCAAAAGCGACATCCCCGCATCTTGCACAGGCTGTAACCATCGCTGTCCGACACACAAAATCCGGGTACGAAACCGAATTAAAAACCTTATGACAAGAATCCAGACAGCCAAGCTCCGCATACAAAGAAATTAACCCAGTCTGGACATGCGGGTCGTTGTCAAAACCACGTCTGATAGTCATACCATGAACTTGAAGCCCCGTCTCACGCATTCCTAACCCCGTACACGCCTGAACCAAGAAGTTGACAGTGTAATTATCCGGTTTAAGACCATTTCCCGAAGAGAGTATCCTACTATAAAAATCAAAGCTTTTTTCTGGAACAGGGCTCTTGCAATGTGCTCTGATCATAGAATTGAGAGCAAACAATGTAGGCTTATCAGACCTATCAAGAATCTGATTCGCATAATCTAAGTATGTGTGATCACTCAAAGCCACTGCCTTTACAAACTGACCCACGAGATGGTCATCCTTGAGTGTCCCGTCGACGTAGAGCTTGGCATGGATTTGCCGAATTTCCTTAAATGTAGTGCCGGAATCCAAAAGAGAGATAGCTGGATGTTTAACAATTCTACTCATGACTATAACATCATCTGCAGCCATTATAACGAAAAAAGATCACAATCTATATAACTAGCTGAGCTGATTGATCTCATTAAGCAGTGGCATTTAAAAATATTTTGACTTTTGTCATCTAAAACTTCATTTGATTCACTGAATTCCTAAAAGAGCTCACTTGGAAATTTTAGCAAGCACCTGGTGTGCAAGCTTAGAAGCTCACAAAATTATAGACCCAATCATTAGAATTTGATAAAGAGAGAATTTTTAACCTGATTTGTCGGCCTATAAACTCCACGCCAGTGAGATATTTACGGCAGCAGAATCTTTCCCGGGCTGGGGGCTTGAACTTCTTCTCTCTATTCGCCAATGTAACACTTTTTTGGTACCAATTAGTTTATAGATCTTTAGTTTTAAACTTGGTGATTTGGTTAATACCGATTCTACCCTCTTGCTAAGAGTGACTTTTTCAGAGCACAAACTCATGCTTTGGAGAAGTTATAATAGAGAGTTACAAAGAAATTGCTTCAACTACACAAAGTTTGATACTTTACTTTCAAATCCATGGAAATAAGCAAACCAGAAGACATGAGGCAAGGATTAAAAAAGACAATCCTGCTCAAACTCTTGGAATTGCTACAGACTACAAAATTGGAGGCAATCTGCAACCATTTCAGGTGCATCCTTTAGTTACAACTACTCAATATTACTGTTATCTGGATGCATCCTGTATCAATGCGAACACACAAATCGGCATAGCTTGGCTCTTGTTTGATCAACAGAGAAGACTTGTGCTTTGGAGTTGAGGTAGGCTTCCGACAGCAGAGAATGCAGCGGAAGCTGAGGTAAATGCTCTGCTTCGTGCCGTAAAGCAGCTTTCGGCACTGAATCACAAGGACATCATTTTCCTCATGGATGCTAAGCAAGTACTAGACCTTTTTCGAGAGATTCTACAGGCTAAACCACCAGTTAAAACGATCCACCTCTAACTTTGTATTTCTTTAAGTTATGCATCTGGCCAAGAACCAGGAATACAAGTTTCATCGCATCAAGCTTTGCTTCAATTCTCAGGCGGATGATTTGGCAAAGAAGGCTGTTCCAACACTTGGATCAAGTACTTACAGGTTAAGCTGTTTGGAACAAACCCAAGTCTCTGCATTCTTTCCTGAAGATCTAACACTTTATCATATCCGCTTCCCGTTTCACATAATGCATTAACCAGCGAATTGTAACTCAGTGTGTCAAAGATTCTAAACTCCATAGCAAAGAAACTCAGTAGACTCTCGGCTTTATCGAAATCCAATTCCTTGCAGTATCTATTAACCAAAGCCCCGCATATAATTGAATCCGGTTTCACTTCAGAATCAAGCATTTCCGCCATCAAAGACTCGGCTTCACGGTTCCTACCAATCCTACATAAGCAGCCAATAAGAGCTCGGTATGTCTTGACATCAAGTACTTGATTCTGGTTTTTGAGTTTCCCTTTTAGAACCAATGCCTCTTCAATAGCATCACAACAGCACAAAGACTCGATTAAGTTATTGTAAGTCTCTGGTTTAGCCTCGTGACCTTCCTCTTTACTGATTCTTTCTAACAAATGCTTTGCTGCAAATGGTTTACCTTCCTGGCATAAACTTTTTATCAGAAAGTCGCAAACTTCAATTGGGATGATAACCTTTAACCTTCTAAGTTCGACAACAAAATTAACAGCAGCAAGTAACCGTCCTTCTCTCACAAATCCTTCAACTATAACCTTACAAGTAAACCTATCCGGAACAACGCTATTCCCAAGCATTTCATGTAACAGCTTCTTCGATTGTTGCATCATTCCTTCTTTGCAATAAGCATAGATAAGAGTATTATAAGACATACAATCAGGCTTAATTCCTCTGTCTACCATCCTATGAAACGTCTGATGAGCTTCTCTAACTCTCCCGTCTTTACAAAGACCTTTGATAAGTGATGTATAAGTAACTAAATCAGGCACAACACGACGCCTATACATAATCTTGTACAGATAAAACGCTTCTTTCAACCTTCCTCTTCTACAATAACTACTCACTAACGTATTATAAGTAACCAAATCAGGCTCAAAACCTTCTTCCTCCATCTTCTCCAAAAAGTCATCAACTTCACCATAATTCGAATTGTTGCAGAACACATTAGTAAGAATGTTGAACGTATACGTATTGGGATGGATTCCAACTCTACACATCACATTATACACTTGCCAACAATCCTCCATCAAATCCAATTTCAGCAACCCATTCAAGAGATGGTTACAAGTAACAACACTAACACGAAAACCGGAATCAATCACCTTCCTAAACGTCGAAAACCCGTCTTCTACCAAACCCAATTTCAGATAACCCTTGACAAGCATATCGAAAACAACAGGATCCCAATTACATTCATCAGAAGCAGAAACCAAAACACTAAACACATCCTCTTCTTCTTTCTTAGATGTCAATTCAATCAACTCACAGAGAAATTGCATAGCTAAAGGAAACTTCTTAGACGAAGCAAGAATGTGAAGCAACAAACAGTAGTTACCAACATTAGGTCTCTTCCCCAAATCAAATTTAACCCATTTAAAGAACGTAAGAGCTCGAGAAGCATCAGATTGAAACCTAAGCAAAACCCTAGAGATTTCAGGATAACCCAAATGAGGAATCAGCGATTTAACCTCGTCACGAAGGTTAGGTAACAAGACGGAATGATCACGGTGGTTGAGTGTTGAACAGATAACATCTACGATTTTATTAGGGTTTTGAGTCTGGGGAAGTAGATTATAAAGAGGATTGAGGATTGGTTTAGGTATATTGTTGCATCGTGGAACTATCGAAGAAGAGGAGAAAAATCGAAGCTTTGAAACGAGCCTCTTCATAAATTTGAGCGAGAACAGAGACAGAGAAAGGACAGAGGAGAGGTTTTGAAGAAGGAAAAGTATTTGTCCCACATCGGTTAAAAATTCATTTTAGGTGAAATATTTATATGTTGAGACATTGATTTTAAGATTGTGTTCGTAGAAAGGAGAGATGGTTGGCATCTCCTCTGACAGAGACGGGATTTGACCTTCGGGTCTTTGAACACATCCGGTTAAGGCTCTCCACATTCGTGTGGATCTAACCCAATTTTTTTGAGCCTTTTAAAGCTATATTTATTTTCGCTATTGGGCTAATCCTTTTTTTTTTTTTTTCTTCCACAAACATACCAAATTTATTTCAAATACACTTAGTGACATGTTTCTCAAGTTCAATATTTGATACAAGCCAAATAGGAGGACTACAATCCAAAACCCCATGATAAATAACTACAAAAGATGCTTTAGATGTAGGGATGTTAAAAGTGGGCTTTAGCCCAGTGGGTACCTGAAACCCATATAAAATAAGAAGCCCAAATATCTACTTTCCATGTTAAAAATACACGGGCTTTAAACAGTCTGGGTACCCAGATGAAGAGAGTCTTATATGGGTTTATCTTACTGGGTTATGGGTACCCACGGGTTTTTTTTCAATTCACCTTCAGATTCTTCCTCTTCACCATCAGATTCGATTGAAACTGAAAGTTCTTCTTCTCCAATTTTTTTTCCCAAATTCGATTTTGTGTAGCTAAAGTTTCGATTTTTGTTACTGGATTTTATATTTCTCCCTAATATTTCTGGATTTTGTTCCTGGGTTTTGTTTCTGGTTCTAGCAAAAAGCCAATTAGGATATTTAGCTCTAAATGCGTTTACGTTTCTTGAATCAGATGTGTGTGTAATAATGTACTTATGTACATAGAAAGTGGGACGAGAATGTGTGTTAGTAAGTTACGAGTGTTACCAAACTGGATTATATTTCCTTGTAGAATGTGTGTCTGTGGTGATTTTGACGCTGGATATTGGTGTTAATTGTACAAGACATTTTGTGTTACTTAGTTAGATACTTAAGGCTGGATTTTGAGTAATCAAACTGGATTGTGTGGCTAAGTTAAAGATAGTAAGTTAGTAACCAAACTGGATTTTTTTTTTCTTTATTGAATGGATTCGCAATCAAGAGAATACATGATCAAATCTAAGTACGGAATATAAATACATGATAATATGCAAAATACAGAAGATAAATACTTACTCTGTTTTTTAAAAGTTGTCGTTTTAACTGTATTTGTACAAATTAAAAAAATGTATACAATAACTATATTAACCTCATAAAAATGACAAGTAATTATTTACAAATAATTTGTGTTCAATAAAATGAGGGTAATTTGGGTAGTTATTGGCATAAATTACATTATTACCTTAAAACGACAGCTAATTTAAAACAAAAAAAGCTCTAAAACGACAACTATTCGAAAACGGAGGGAGTACATGATTATATGCAAAAATACATAATTATATGCAAAATAAAAAATATAAATACATGATTATATGCAAAATAAAGAATATAAATTCATATGATATAAATGGTATATTAAAAATTAAGCATAAACTTTAAAGAGAAAAAGAAAAAATAACACGGGTACCCACGGGTAGTCTTGAAACCTATTGGTTTTTTTTTCGGGTTTACCCACAATACCCAAAACCCATCCGGGTTTTTCAAATTCGGGTTTTTAGTGGACGGGCTCATTTCGGGTTCAGATCGGGCTGGGCTTTTTTACCCACCACAACATCCCTATTTAGATGCGAACAGATTTACACATCCATTTGCTTGTCTTCGTTAGAACTAGGCCTACGAGTTTGGATGATTGGATCGGGTTTTTCAGTTTATTCGGTTATCAAAAATTCATGGGTGATTTTGCTCAATATACATATTTGTAAAAATAATTAAGAATATAGCATACTAAATCAAAAAATGTAGTAAGTAACCATGAGAACTAGTGATAGGACGAAACTAACCTTGGAAGAAGGACACGCGCCAATTGAAGAATGAAGGAAAGAAGAGTGTCGTGAGTTATGTTGCATGGAAACTCTCTCCGAGGTCCGTTTCGGAAACGGAAACTCTCGGAAACACCAAGAAACATTAAGGAAACGCGTTTCTTAAAAATCTCTGTTTGGAAACACGATGGAAACTCACGTTTCCGTTTTGGAAACATGACAATTTTTTTTTTTTTACTTTGGAAACTTAATAAATAAATATCATGGAAATATTAAGATTTATAATACATATAAATAATTTTGGGAGACTCGAGTTTTAAGATCTTTTTCTCGACAAACCAGATTTGGAGGCAGTTTTATATAATCTTTGATGGAACTAATGAAAATTAGAATGAAAATGTTGGTCTAAATATTTGAATTTGAGCCTTTTGATCTTAATTTTTTGGAATTTTAGTTAAACTATTTAATATTTTATGTTTTGGATTTGTGTTGTTTAAAACATATATATTTTTTAATTCTTTTATATTTGGTGTTATATATATATATATATATATATATGTATATATGTTTCCAAAACGTTTCCATTCTCTAACTTTAGAAAAAAACCGTTTCCCGTTTCCGAAACGTTTCGTTTCCGCGTTTCCGTTTCCGTTTCCATGCAACATAGGTCGTGAGAGTGAAGAGAGAGAAAGAAGTGTAATTGATTTTTTTAAATAATTTTTTCACTTTTTACCCCATGTGTGTATTACTCCACATTTATTGTTTGAAAAATTAAATAGCAATTTATAAATTTTATAGAAATAAAACCTAGTCTTTTTTCTCTATATATCATGATTTGGATTTAAAAAAATAGAAGTAAACTTATAAAAATAACAAAACTTGATCTAAATAGATACAACTAAAATAGTATAGAATTAAATAGAATAGTAATAAATACTACATATAGTGGTGGTCGTGAAATGATATACCTTATAAAATACCAAATAAGAAATTCAAACGATCAAGTTATACGTACGATTAAAAAAGAAATATTATAATCTAAGGGATAGAACATTGAAAATTCAACATGCCAAAAAATTACATCTTAGAAGAAATATAACATAGAAAATTTAAATTGTTGAATTAAACACACCAAAACTATCGAATTACTATACCCTAAGGGATACAACATAAGAAACCTAAAATATCGAATTAAACGCGCATCAAAGTTAGATTACATAAATGTATAAATGAAATAGTATAAACTTAAATGACATAACATGGAATAGTATAAAATTGATGATATAGAAAAAAAAAAAAAAAAGAAGACAAAAATACATAGAAAATGATATGACATATGAACAAAGGGTAAATTAGTATATATTACATGTTATACACAGAATATTGTAGTCAACTTTTTTTTAGGTTAGTTATTGAATTATTAATTTTTTATGGTCATACACCCTAATTTCTCAAAATTCATTCAAAATAAACCGAAAAAATAATTAGGTTGGGTCGGATTGGTTACCGAACATAAATTTCAGTTTTCAAATTGAACCGAATGTCAAACCGTTTTGCACCGAAAACCAAATAAATCGGTTGGTTCATGGTATATTTGGGTCGGGTCAAAACCGTAGGCCTAGTTAGAACTGAAAAGAAGGCTCCAGATATCTTCGAGGTGTCGGCTTCATGTCTGTGATGTAGCTACTTAAGTGTGGCCACTTCTCAATTGGGCTAATCCATTACTCGAGTTTCTAATTTGTATATTTCATTCCACTTATCTTATCTTATATTTTATAATAAATGTATATCTAAGTTCGAGGTAAATTAATCAATTTTTAAAAATTTAGCATGACAAAAACCTCAATGATATTGTTGGCAACAACTAAAAAAAACAAAACATTTGTATAGTTTATGACAACGGCCTTTAAACTCTTTGGTTGTATTTGTTGCCGGAATCAATCAATCAAACAACACAACATAGTTTATATTAGCATATATATATTGTGTGAATATTTATTGTACAACAACTAAAAAATTCTACATTTATCTTGTAACCTATGATATTGATAATATTGAGAAGAGAATAATATATTTATCTTCTCTTATATGGTATCAGGCTATCTGTCTAGCAACTCTCCTTCTAAGACACTCAACATTTGTTTGGATCTAACCCAATTTTGTTTGGGAATTTTTAAGGCTATTTATTTTCTCTATTGGGCTAATCCCTTACTCAATTTTCTAATTTGTATATTTCATTTTCTTAATCTTATCTTATATTTTATAACAATTGTAAATCTTATTTCGAGATAAATTGATCAACTTTTTCGAATTTAGCATAGCAAAAACCTCTATTTTATTGTTGGCAATGACTAAAGAAAACATGTGTATATATACCTTATACCAACAACCTTTAAGCTTTTCGGTTGTATGCCTTCGAAGATTAACTGAATCAATCAATCAAACAACCACAATATAATGTATATTAGCATATATATTGTGTGAATATTTTTTGTACAACAACTAGAATTCTCTACATTAATCATGTAACCTATGATATTGATAAGGGATAATATATTTATCTTCTCATATATGGTATCAGGCTATCAGCTCTCCCTTTTCAAATAATCCCTTAAATAAAAATTATTGAAATTGTTTAGTGGTATTAGCTTCCTAAACAATCTTTATGAAAATATCATATTTTACTGAAGTGTAAAAATATATTATTTTTATGTTTGTAGATCTTCCACCTTTGATAGTCTTCGATTGAGTTAATAAATTTTGACAACCCATGTGTGTCATACATAAAATTCTCATTGTGTGTCATGCATGAAATCCTCATTGTGCAACAAAAGTACACAACCAACTCTTGAGCAGTCTATCATCTATCGTGCTATTTATCAGAGAAATTCAAGTGTTGATTTAACTGTCTCTCATTAGCTAGTTAAGATTCATACAATAGTCTATTGATGAGATTGATCATGGTTTTTATATTTTAGTTAAAATCGTTACAATTGAACCTAACCCCACCTACTAAGACAAAACCTTGTAAATGCAAAATTTTAGCCTCAAACATAGGATTTAATGTTGTTAGAGATCGACTACACACCCTCACATAAACCCACCTAAATCAAGATTCGTTCACTT